GCCTGTTTACAGCCTCCCAAGAGCTGGGATTACAGGGGCACATCACTACACCCAGTCTCAATCACCCTCACAGCATGTGCCAGGGATGGGGCTGGCAGGGTAGGCCCAGGGATCAGTAACTTGAATCCACTGAGCTACAAAAAATAGATTTAAACTTTTAATATACTTGATATTCAGAGACTTACCACTGAGTATTATATTTTCATCAACAGAAATCTTCAAACAGGCAATTATATTTACATGATACATATATGGAGTTAATTGGTGCCATAAAGTAGCTCTCTGAACCCTGTTAAAAATTTCCATAGTTCTATTTATTTATTTATTTTTTTGAATTTTTTTATTAGCATATGTTTGCAGTACATAATGACCATATTCCTTAATAGAGAGTTGGTACATGTGAATAGCACATCTTAATGCTCTTTTATTTTTATTTATTTTTATTTTTTGGTGGAACTGGGGATTGAACTCAGGTTCTTGTGCTTGCCAGGCCAGTGCTTATTCTACTGAGCCATTTCCCTGGCCCACTGAGCCATTTCCCTGGCCCTCCATAGTTTTATTGCTAAGACATTTTTTTCTTATCTTATTTTTCACTTCATTTATTTATTTTTTCCATAATATTTGTGTCTTTTTTTCCTTTTTTTTTTTTCAACTCAAAAGAGCTTTATTTAGCTGAGCTCAGTGGCGACACGTACTGTCATCTCCAAGTATGTGCACACTTAGCCTAGGTGAGGTGCAGTTTTTAAAGGGAAAAACCACAAGAGTAGGGGGAGGAGGGGGGATTTTACAAAGCTTATTTTGAGGTAGTCATGACCAAGGGTTCCAATAGACGAGGTCACATTTTGCAAACCCTACAGGAATATGTCCTTATTTGGCTTAGGTGTTGTTTTTGTTCCCGTAGTTGCAAGGACATCTGATGATAGTTTCACCCATTTTTAGGCATTCTGTTTGTTCCTGTAGGAAGAACAGTTTAATTCATTTTGCAGAATGTTGAGGAACATTTCTTATCTTCTCTCGCAACGCTGAAAAACACTTTCTTATTTGCACAAAGTCACGTTTTTCAGGGGAGGCATGGGTGGGGGTTTTACAAAACAAATCAAGGTTTTACAAAATGGAAGTTACAAAGCTTGTTACAAAATGGAGTTTAAGTTGTCAGCTTATACCAAATAGTCCTTATTAATAAAGTCACACTGGAAACATAAAGAATTACAAAATTGGAATCAATTGCACAGGTTATAACAGTTCACAGTTTGGGGCTTTGTAAATAAAACTACTCTGACCATTTGTGTGCAAATTTTGTGTGAAAATAAGATTTTTTTTTTACTTTGGAATAAATGCTCAAGAATATGCTTCCTAGGTGATGTATGAGCATTGTATATTTAATTTTATATGAAACTAACAACTTGTTTTCCTGATAGTGTCATTTTCCATTCTTACCA